TTTCACCTGAAACGATTATGCGTGAGATTCATTGACGCTATTTTCACCTAGGGGATTTCTTTAACTCAACAACGATCAGTTTGATCTAATTTAACTCTGTTTAAGTAATTCACTGACCTTTCCACTATATTGAGGTTTACTACCGGAGCTCGTTGACGATTCTTCACTCGATGATCCTTCACTCGACTGATCAGTCTTACTTCCTGCAGAAAAACTTTTTCGTTCTAGGTCTAACGACAAATCCTGACTTTTTTATGCTAGGGAAAAGGAGGGGACTCTGCTCTATTCTCTCGTAAAAGGATTCGTCTCAATAATTAGTCCTAGTAAAGTTATGGCCAAAAATATTTTTCGAATTTCGAAATTTTACACCACAGGAATTTTGGAATTTTTTCGTACTAGGTCTAACGACAAGTCCTTACCTATCTTCTTTAAGTACTGTCATCATTGTATGCTGGCTTTTCGCGCTAGTCGCGACATCACCCATGTGAGCATATTTCTTTTAAATGCTCATTTTTGATGTGAGTTTGATGATAAAATCAGCATATTTCTTTTAAGTGCTCATTTTTAACCGCTGAACATGTTTGGTGGCTGGCAAGTTGTAGAAAAACAATTACCTCTTGCATTCTTGATCCGCAGACGTCTACCACGTATCAGAAACCGCTTTTACTGCAACTCACAAATGCAGACTCAGGTTTAGGGCCATGCTCATGGCTGTGGATGAAACTCGGATTTACGACTATATTCGACTTCGACTGACGGCTTCAAAACGACAGCATCAAAATTCTCGTGAGGGAAATTTATATTTTCCACTGTGGTACGATTAATTTAAAAATTTTTGATATGAAATTTGCAAACTCGATCCGTTTTGCGACTTCTTTAAATTTAGTGGAGACAAAACCGGAAGATGGATGCGAAATAATGGATATGCCAAATTACGTAAAAATATTCACAATCAGTAAGTCGAGCTGATGTTGTACTGATTTTATCTGATGAGGTCGGATGGAATGAAGTTCAGTTCAAATATGTTTGTAGCAATTCTGGTTATGCATTGTTCTGCACTGATAAGCATAAAAATTCAGCTAATGCAATCAATTTTGATATGTTATTGCAATACAGTCATTTTTGCATTGGGCATGTCGGCTTATAAATCTCGTTGTTTGAATATCTACGCTGTATGTCGAGAAGTTGCAATTAACGACGTTAAGCATTACACAGCACGGAGCATACTGCGATGTCAGCTATCAGTTCGCAATGAAAATCTCAAAGTATGTTTACGACCGATAACGTTCAGTTGCAAACTGTTGCCGTTTCACTATCAGTCACTATCTGTTAATTATGAAACGGGCAGACGATACTAATTGTAAATGGATACAGATAGCATTCTTGCTGATATTTTATTTCATTTTGTGTAGTTTTATGTGGAGATGTTGTCAGTTGGTTTGTGTATAGGCGAGTGTTGCTTAGAGCAAAATTCCACAAAACCCAACACCAGAATTGCACATTTTCATTTCGTCAGTCGCTCATTATACAACGAATATTTTCGTTGTCTTTCACCACTGAGTTCCTGGTATCGAAACGTTTATTGAATGTAATCGATACAAATCAGCAAACAGAAAAAGTGTTTGTTAATCATTATTGTAGCCACTCATCTGCACAATACAAACACGTTCGTTTGTAATCACCTGCAGGATCATTTTATGCAAATATTTGACATATGAACCATACAAAACTACATTATGAGTAAATTGTAATATCAGATCAGCAACGTACTGCATTTATCATTTTGAAGCTAAATGTGATAACTGCATTGTTGACTTAATGTTCTCTCATTAACGAAGTAGCACTTAAAAGTAATCCTCGACAGTTCTCTTTTCAACGCATCTCATAATTCCAGACGACTTACGAATGTGTTTTGTTAAAAGTTTATTCATCACAAGTGCAAAAGAAACGTTCATATAATATCGTGTTGCTTAATATGCGATTCTCTTCATTTCCCCATGCATCAGATCGTCTTCGATTTCTGCTTTGTTGCTCAAACAAGTTCTTCAAGATGAGTAAGTCGTCGTTTCATGTCATTCGACGAAAGCTGTAATGTAGATATTTTCATTATTTCTTCACAGTCAGTGAGGACTTTGGGTCCACTTCTGCGCTGTAAACAAAAGTTCTCATTGTATGGAACTAGACTGATGGCCTCAGAAACCATTCAACAGTGAAGCGAAATGTCCTCAAGTGGTACACGGTCGTTTAATCAGATCGCGGTAAACGCTGTTAATTTGACGTAATATTTTGAAAATGAATTATTCTTTACTTTTGGATTCATTTTGCTTTGATTTAAGAATAATTTTGTCCTTCCAACCCCTTGACCTTCTTTCTAATGTACCGGGTTCTCCTTTCCGAACATCATTATTTTTATTTCTTCCAATTTTTAAATGCTTCACGCCTTCCTCCTTATGTACATTCCGTATATATTTATGGACGAGCAGTTCAGTCACTCATTATTACTACGGAACAGTGATAATAACTAGACGAAATTTGGATTAGATTAGATGGTCGGTTACCATCACTGCGTTGTAGTGAGCATCCGCGGCGAATATCAACGTGATTATGTATTTACAATTCTGCACTGTACGATGCTACATGATCACATTGAATTGGTCCACTGTCAAGACAAATCCAGCGGTTTAACCCACTGAATTAAGCGCTTCCGGCCGCTAGCATTTGAGAAAGTCGGAAAATGACCGTTCCAGCAATTCTCACATTTTTGGAGCAAATTAACTTTTCGAATCAGAATTTCAACCGTTTTTTTCATACAATACTCACTATGAAATCTTCGTAGAATGCGCTCAGTTGATCATCAATTGTTTGAACGCCTTTAATCATCATTAGTAATCGGTCTTCAAGGTTAGCGTGGCTGTCAAATTGATCATCTTCATCCATGTCAACCAGGAGATTATCTTTTTCGAGTAGTTTCCTGCCTAAAAATTTTTTTGTGACATGAAGTTTGAGATTATATGGCGAACGCTCAAAATTTCAGAAAATTTATTTTTTATAGACAAGCACCTTTGCTTTTCGGTAAACGTATCTATCGTTTTCATTTCCACAATCAAAATTATCGTCCCCTAGCAAATTAAATCACTGCCTTATAAATTTAGCAGAACTATTCACAATCAGCAAAGGAAAAACATTCAAAAAAGCGAATAATACTCCGTTGAAGCACGTCTTGAATGACGAAAATGCACCTTTCTCAAATAACGACAGCTTTGCCTCTGGATATTCCTCAAGCGCTTCCCATAAGCCTTCTTTACTTAAAACGTATAGATCAGAGAAACCAACTGATCGAATGGCTGCTGTACGACGATTCCCATTTTTGTTGCCTTAAGAAATTAATTTCACAATGAACAATTTCTTACAAAATGTTACTTCATTAGACACCTTAGATCATACAATATCAGCACCTTCTGTTTCAGTTATGGAATATCTGTTTTGAGAATGATGATTGTGTGCGTTCATTATGAAATCCACACACGAAACCTCCATCGGTTTGAATCCAGGGATGACAAACCTGACGAAATACATCGTGCAGTTCAGAATATTGTGTAGTATGTTTCGCAATTAACGTATTACGCGTTGTTATGATGCCACATAAACTGACAACAAAAACACGCAGCACCAGTAGTGTTTCTACAGATCACGACAATTCTGAGTCTCGCTTTTGAATCCCGATTCCTATCCCGCGATTCATGGATTCACGGAATTTCCGGGATTCATAACACAAGTCGTTTTGTAGGATTTTGGTAGTATACCCATCACGAATAAAGTATAAATCATTCCAGGCTAATTAGTATGCACTCATATTTGTTGTTTACCACCCACATGATGATAAAAGGAGACTCCTGGTGAGGATTAACGACTTCAGAGTCCTACATTTAATGCATCTGATGAGGTATATGAACGATCCTGATTATATTGTGAAGGAAACAGATTATGTCGGGCATAAGATCATGAAAAAAATATTATGGAACTAGCAGTGAAGTTGTCTTCGAGGCTATTCAGTGTGAGCAGTAAAAATGATGACAAGCTAAAGTCCGAGTCATCGATGGCAATTGATTCATCGAAGGACGGGAATGAATATGATATCGCTTTCTCAAAAAATAGAATTGATGATGAATTCTCACATCATATTCTTTCTGTAATTTGTGAAAAAAGCAAAGTAAACTCTGAAATGCATTTATTCGAAGTGACGAAGGAAAGGGCGGCGAATATGCAAAAATTGTACAATTCGATTAAAACGATCCAACCGACAAATGTCAAAAGTGAGAGAGCCTTCTGCGCATTTTCTTTTTTTTGTACAAAACTGATAAATCGGATGAGTGATGCAACAATCAACGCTCTAACCTTTATGAAAGTTTATTTCAAGTTTCATTGAAAGTTTATTTCAAGTCTCTTCTGCATTTGTTGTTGTTGCACCAGTCGTAAGTCTATTGTATTTTCGTCACAGAGATCGTTCATTTCATCACGATTTTCTTTCAGTTGTGTTATTTTGTTGAATTTGTTGAATTTGCTGAGTTTTGTTGAATGATTTCAATAAACTGTTCTCTGATTGATTACAAACACATTAATTCAGAAAGAATGTGTTGAACATGCCACACTTCTATATTTCAAGATTTACTTCCCAACCCCGGGATCGCTGCGAGATAGAAAAACGATTCGGGATCAAAATCCGACCCGGGACTGAGAAAATGGTCAGGATTTTGCAAACCCTAATCACCGGTGCTGAAGGACTCGTAAGAATACGAGGAAAACATAAGTAAGAGCAGTTCGATGGAATAGAATGGTAATCGCTGTGCGTTCGATGCAGTTGTATGGTAATCGCTGAATGAGATTGCAATATCTGATTGTATTTGTGTAACATATAGTTGGTGGGTTACCGGCATCTCTTGTAGGAGGTACTCCGTCATCAATTGCGAAGTTAATCGATCGTAATCAACGGAAAAGACAATTGATCGCAGTCAGGAAAAGGAACTGATACTTATTAGTTCTTTTTCTTCCGTTGTTAGATTGCCGTATTCAGTCTTTGGGAAGACTCTTATCCTTTAGTGATTCAGTCCAGTCACTGCCTTGAACTGGAGTAACTAGAGAAGTAATGAAGCTTTCAAATGCCAGAACCACTGCTCTAGACAGAATTTAATGAGAATAGGTGGAGGAGTAGTACACTTCTTGAACGAAGGATACACTTCTTGAACGAAAGGCGATTGATACCTGGAATATCAAGAATTGATAACTCTCCGAAGACTGTTCCCTCCTTAAGAGTAGCAAACACTTTTTGGCCATCGTCACTCACCACTTCGATCGTTCCTCGTTTCAAAATGTACATTTCCTGAATCAAAATGTTCTCAGTTGTCCACATACATAGAAATTAGTGTGGTGCGAGGACGAAAAAAAGTCGGAGACGAGGAAAATCGGAGATTATCGGGGCGAATCCCCGAACTTCCCCGATCCTCGAAATTCTCCGCACCGCACTATTAGAAATGTCTTCATCATTCATGATCAATTAAAGTTTGAGTAGCGTAATGGCTAACTGAGTATGATCACTGTATGGAATTTGTAATTTTATGAAGAGTGAATAGATTTAAATTCTATGTCTTACCTTCCCAATATCGCCTTTCTTGCAAACATAATCACCGGGGTTATACACTCGAAGTTGAAGCATCAAAATGAGTTCATGTAAAAGACCTGGATCGCAATCCTAGAGTACCAATAACACTATTTAACGTTGTGAATTTTGAGCGTATTTTCGTATGGTTTTTTATCGAAGTTGTTTGCTCGGAATTTCGCAAATTGAATAGCGTGATTCCATGCAAGTGAAAGTCTTAGTTGCCTTTCCGATGAGAATGTTGTAATGTTTTAGAAAAAGCTTCGGAATCAACCCTTCCAATCGTACCTCGAACAATTTAATCCTTCGCAGATTTTCCATATGAATAAAGACAGCCATTTGCCTGTATAATTTCCCAGGTATAAATTTCGCGATTGCCTAAAAGAATCTGGTAATAAAACAGATATGCAATATAGTTGATTTGTTTGCATGATTGTGGATGGGTGCAGCAGAAATAATCACGAAATCTTGCATTTTGATTGTGGATGATGAACTTTTTATAGCAAAAAATTTGTCACATTGTTGACTTATGAATGTGACAGATCGAACCTTTTCGTCGACCTTAGCTTGTCCCTCAGCCCATGTATAAGCAAACCAGTCAATGATTCTCGTTTGTAACTGTGATGGTACTTCTCTGCAATATAAAATGTGTAATTATCGTCGCAGCTGAATTTTTTGTAATCTGTGTTAGTATCTTCACGCAAATCATTGCATGACTTCTGGCGAATTATCAGTTGTTTAACATCTACTCAGTTGTTGAATATCTATTCAATTTATCACAAATTAAAAACTCTGCAAAGCGAAAAGTTGAAATCACTTCACCTATAAATCATGTATTGTTTACAGCCGTCGAGAGTAAGTTCAAATTCTGACTTGACTGCATTCATATCGCTGATCATATTACCAATTTCACCAAAAATTATCGCGAGTATAATCAGACCAATTAATGTATCAATAATCTCAAAGGCGTTTTGAAACGAATTGTTTGGCCATGGCTGAATAACAGAGATAACGTTTATCATTTGTATTCCTCTCCAAAATGCGAATGATAAGTTGATTGCATTTACGTGAAACATGGTTCCTCTCATTTTTATGATACTAAAGCGATCTAATCACTTACCTAAGAACAATTGAAAACAAATTTTAGCAGTTGCGATTCTCCGTTGAGAGAAAGTTGACCAAAATGTAGCAGTGATAGAGCCCTACTTCGTTGCAAAATCATGGGTTAAGAAGCAAATCAAGTTTGCTATCTACTCTGTGCAAATGAATCTTAATCTTTCCACCAATAAAATTCCTTATCGTTCGACCGATCATTTTTCGAACATAAACAGACGTTTTTAAATTTCAACTCACCTGTTCACCGAGTGTAACGAGCGTTAACGCCGACCAGTAAAAGCTGAGACTGTATTGTTTGGTGAAATCACTGAACCTTAGTGCATATGTCCTTAATACTTTTCACAAGTAATTTCATTTCATTTTGGTCATCATTCTGCACTGCACTGCACTTCTAATAGAGCATTTGTGCTTGAAAGCATTCTTTAGTTGTGCATTCTAGAGGGGTGTTTCTAAAAGATTGATTGATGACCCTAAATCAATTCTCGTACACATCAATATTCAGTGCGACATTTAGACGTTCACTCATGAATATAATTACATTTAAAGATGTTCTCTGATACCATATCCAAGCTCGCAATCAGAGGATGTTTTTCCACTGCGAAGATGATCTGTGCAAGCAAGTCGACGAGTGACCTCATCTCAAGATAATCGCTTAGGATCATGTGAAAACCATCGCCATTGGAGAAGTTGTGGTATTCCCTCCCTCATCCCCATCCATCAGAAAGACTTCTGGCTACGAATCTGAGCTATTTTATGGGTAGACCGAAACATTTTTTCGAATTCGTGGATCCATTTTTGCCCGAACGTTCTCAAATAAATTGTCGTCGAATGAATGAGATATTTGAAACGGACTTCGGTGAAATAAAATTTTAAAAAAAACCTGTTCTGCCAATAGTGTATCAAATCATTCAAATATTCGTCACGATTAATCGCATTCCTGTTCGTTTCATTGAAACTGCAGTTACTGTCTTGTTGATATGACGCACAAGTTGTGAGTATTGGGTCGACGATTTTATCATACGAAAATATCCAGTCCTCGATTTGGGCGGCTGAGATTTGTGATTTTAAAAATTGTGAATGGAAGAAATTTTTCTTTCAGAATGCTTTTCCATTTTTCTTAATTGAGAATGCTTTTATTCAACCAGATTGCTTTCACATTACAATTCTTTTTCTTTCAGTGCATACACCATGGAAATCTTATTTTCTAGGTGTGAACAATGTCAGAACAATATGTTCGTTCGATAATATTTCGAAAATATCGATTCTCCACACATCTGAAAACCTGAATGTCAGTCTGTGGCAAAAAAAAAGATCATTTTGAGAATCGTAGCATGATAAATAACAGGATATAATTAATTGACTTACAATGGTAATCGTAATAGATACTTAACAGAAAATACAGGCATCCGTTCCAGTGAAATAGAATGAAGCAAGTAATTGCTAATTTAAAGACGCGGAATACACTGGGAAATGTTGTACGAATTTGTGTGAGATCGACGAATTCGAAAATGCGGTGCACCTTCAAGAGACGATTCACCCGCACTATTGTCAGATCATTTCGAATCAGTAATATGAGATCAGTCGGTAAAATGGCGATGAAGTCGGCAAGGAATATGAGTCTGAACAATACGGAATTGTTTGATTCGAATGACAGTTCATATTTTCGTATCAAAGTTGGCCTGAACATAGTCTAACATAAGTGCGCAGGGGCAGTTATGAGGTTCGCATATCAGCCATTAATTTGAATAATTGGTTGCTAGCGCTATTAATTCAACATATGCGAATCATTGCTTAAGAGATTCTTGCTACCAGGAATCAGTGAATTCAATCACGAGGAAAAATTTCGAAGTAATCTGAAACCATCGATTATTTCGAAACTTCTCGTCATTTTTGAACCAACTTGATTCTAATTGTAAGATTTCCGGTAGCAAGAATTACATGTTTGAAAGCTTTCCTTATGCAAAAGGCAGTGTTTTATAATTTCATTTGCTTACAATTAGAAAATTGAAATCTGCTTACAATTAGAAAATTGAAAAAACTCAACGAACAACTGCTCATCGTCAGAAAATTGCGTCGACTGCAGTGAAATAATATGATGCGAGTCAAACTTATTAACGATACGGAATCAATAATCGATTCTAGCGATAACCTTTTGCGATAATTTCTCAGCGTTGCAGTTCGATTTGTGATTCGAACACCGTTCTCGAGAAATGCTGAAAATGTTCAAATATAATACCCGTTCAATTCATTTCATTCACATCACAACGTAGCGTCACGATATATGCTTGCTTATGTGTAATTTGGTCGTACTTATGTTATTAGCATCCATTCACGATAGCAAAACTTCATGAATATCAGCGAAGATTACCATCATTTTGATTCATAGACAAAACACAAGAATGATAAGCAGAACTTTTTGAAATTGCAACGCTCATCTTGAATCAATCACACTTTAGTTCCCAACGAATTTGCTAAAATGCTAATTTTTTAAGGAGTTTTATCATTACCAATGCTACATGAAAACTACACCATTCAGTCTTTCAGAGACATTTTTTTGTTTAGTGTGTGAAAAATAAACCATACATCTTCTTGACTGGATAAATATGTCGATAATATCGACAAAGTCAGTAATGCCATTGCCAATAAACCATTCAATGTAATGTAATTCATGCATTGCTTCAAATACCATAATGACGATCATAATGAGATTATAAAGGCAAGCTAACGAGACAATCATTGTCCACCAATAAAACAGTGAGCCCGTATCGTCCACCCAAAAGTTCGAACGAGATCTGCAAGTTGAATGCAGTTGAACAATTCACTCGATAATTTTCTACAGCGTGTTTTCTGCAACAATTTTTCTACAAAATGTGTTTAGGAGGAGGAAACCAGTTCATTGCTTGAGTAATTTTGGCAATTAGCGATCGTTGTGTGTATCTGGAGATGGCAATCTGTATGGTCCGTATAACGTGCTCATTTTAAAATGTAACCCATTTTCGTAAGAGACACCACTCGTAATAAATGATTTATGAAGATCTAGCAGTCAATAATTTATTACTATTAATTTTTTAACCTGCTGTTTGCTGAATCAGTGATATTCATTCCATCTGTTGCTCCTTCCCGTGTGTTCAGAAAAGAATCGTCGATATAATTATCCGAATTTCGTTCAATATCGTCATCACCTCTTTTCCCGATGAACAATACCAGCTTCCTGAACATCTGAAAATGACCAAGAATGCGATCTTCCGTCGAGGAAAACCACCGAATGTGAGATGAAATGGCTCTGAATCAGTTGCAGGAACATGAATTCATAAGAATTGTGGTACTTGTTGTGTATGAGCACCGATGGGTATTTCTCAATGATGTGATGCTCAGATGAACTTTTCTTAAATCGTTGTGGAGTTTCTATGGGTGAACGATGTGAAACTGCTGCAGATATGTTCGATTTTGATTTTGGCATTTTCCGAGGCCCTTATTCAGCTGTTATCAAGATATGTGTATCAAAACGAAGCTTTTTCTCAAACAGTAATCAAACTCGCCTGCAATGCCGACGAACATTTCCGAAAACATTTCTGGTAGTTCGTTGTATTAGATGCGCTCTGAGTTGCTTGATCTATTTCCATATAGAGATGCGATATCGCTGAAGCTTGTAAACGCCACTGAAGATAACAATTCTGCAAACTGTCTGGAAAAAGTGAACTTATAACAGTGAAATGTCAGAATTTTACCGTTAAATGGCACCAGGTTCATGGGGAAGAGTCAAGAAATTTCGTTTTTATATTCTTCCAATGTCAGAATGATTTCAGAAGTGCGCAAATGCGGAAAACTGTAAACAGCTAGCCTCAATAGTGAGAAAAGCATGAGCGAAGAGCTTCAACGGTAGGGTTTCGAATATTCAGTTAAATAACAGATAACGATACATTTGATGAAGGCGGATGGACACAATTAGACGCATTACTTATTGCTATCGGAAATGAATTTATAGTCTATCAAATGCAAGATTCAATATGCTTTCATGCATCAATCCATTAAGCCATTAAGCCATCACAGTTTCATGTGCATAAATTTTCATTTCAGCTCTTGATTGGCATTTCCGTTTATCAACATATTTTCTCTTATCGTTAGTGCTTGCGATGAAGTTTGAGACTATGAAATTGAGATACAGCAGTAGCGATTTGCAGAAAATTAGCTGGTTACGATAGCTTGGTGTGGCAGATTATAGATCAAGATGAATTGAATCCACTGGTAGTGCATAGTATAGACATCCACTGAAGATAGAACTGAAACGCATCGTGATGCAAGATGATTTCACGGGATTCATGCACGGAAATTCCATGGAAACTGATAATTTGGGGAGTAGGCAGTGATAACTGATGAACAGATTCGTAAAATTTGATTTATCTCACAAGGCATGTTCCTTGTCATTTGTAAAGCGTCAAAAGTATTAAAGGGTTCAGTTCATTTCAATCTGAGTTTGCCACTCGCCTTCCATTAATGTCACCTTTTGACGTTCACTTCCGTGAACAATGTTAATAGAAGTATTCATAAATGTTAACAGAAGTATTCATTTGATGGGACATCTGACAATGAGCAAAGATGCAACCACTCGAAGGAAGAATTGTGGAACTCATAAAGTATCTTTGATAACAGTCAGTCACAAAAATGTGAATTTGTTCGTTAAATCTGAGAATACGAATAGCCTCCAATTACAATGGAACGGTATGAACGCAGTGTGAGAATTGTGATCGGGACTTGTAACGCATTGCAGAGTGCGTCGTGCTGATAACGAATCTTTCCTTATTTTCTGCCAGGTACTCTCATTTCTCGAATCGAGTTGATGAGCCCAGTTGCTGCAATAACATTCCATCGTGATGAATGAAGATTATGGCCGTCGGTGATCAGTCGGTAAGGTGTCAGGTTGCTAATGGAAGGATCATGCTTCGAATATCATTGTTCGATTACCGTGATACGATTCTCGAATTTTTCTATCTCTACCTCTGCTTCGTTGCATTTCTTTCTGATTGTCAAAAGATGAATCGATGATGGTTTGATTCCAAATGGCGCTGATCTATTTTTACCCATGCCTGCATTCATTTTGAGTCATCACTCCCGAACTGCTTCGAATTATGCTTTTCCGAACATTACTCATTTAGAAATACTTACTGCAATTTATACTTACGGTACGGTCAGTCAATTGCTAACAGGTAGGTCCATTACACACAATAAATTCTTCGAAAAAAAAACAGAATCTAAAAAGATGGATTGTATTCAGCTGGGAAAAACAAAAGTATCTGTTACGCTTGCAGTCGAAACTCTATCATTTCAATTTCTGACAAATAGAAAGGTACACCACGGAATGATGACAAAGGCGGGAAAAGCAAAAATTTTAGCGGCTGCTGAGCTGGAACCACTAGTCCACAGATAGTCTGATGCCTTAACGACTGATCAACGAGGGTCACAAAGTTTGTTTATCACGATGAAATGATATTGAAGCAACTAATTGTTCAAGTCTCATCAGTTTGCTTCAGCGGTTATTTAACAGGAAATATAAACACAAGTTTTTGATCATCACAACTGGTCTACAATCTGATATAGATCTCAATCAGAATTTTCACACTCTATTGGCGCCTCTAAGTAAATTTTTCAATTCTGATTATGCAGTCGCAATAAACGGTGTGTGCACGATGAGAAAATGGCCGCGTTTTCGCCTAAGTGTTTAAGATTAATTAACTTTGTCGACAAAGTTGAACTGAACTCCAATTTTATTATATATCTCAAATTAATCTATCACTCAGTTTCAAACGTTCTGGATTTGTCGTTGATGGATCTAATGCAAGGTTTGGGTTGCGGGTGAATTTGTTAAATGTTAAGTATCATAAAATGCACGTATGCAAGGGAGTTTCGGTCAGTGATATTTAATGCAACATAATAGTTCGCAGTGAATAATTGAAATCAACGTGATCAAAGACTTGTTTTAACATGACTTTCAACTGGCACATCCATTTTCTCTTCTTAACTCCCTAATCGTTCGATTATTTTGTGTGTTTCTTTACTGTCTCATTACTCGAATAGGCAACTAGTTGTTATCGATTTGGTAACCCTGAGCGATAAGATCCAAGGTTTCGAATTCATCAACGAACAGAAAGGGAACCTCAGTTGTGGAAGTATGACTTTTCGAGTTTCCTCTGGTTTAGTTGCAACCTTTCGTGATCAAAGTTCGGAATTTTTCAGCCATGAAATTTCATTGCTTAACGTTCTGAACCCATCCTATTCAAGCACATGCGACAGGTCGTCTTTGATGATTACATTTCAGTTTAAAAGATCTACTCGGTTTTCATTAGCATTATCAGATTTAAAAGCACAGCTCAATTAAAATTTAACTGCTCCAACATTCGCTGCTGAGACGCGTTCTAGAGGAACATTCTAGAGGAACGCGTTCTAGAGGAATGGTAGGGTTCAGGTTTTGTATTAAGAAACATGAAAACAAACTCTGGGGTCACAATTGAAATGCGTGACCTCTCCGAACGTTATGCTCACGTGGATTACTGTTAGCCTTGAAATTTAGAGGAATGAAGCAGTGCGATCATTTGTAATCGTATTGAGATATTCATTATGATCACTAACAATTCTGCTGCATTGTATGGTGTTCATAGTGCCTCGAATTTGTCGTGCTCTCTGCTTCTCCATCCTCTTCATTGATGGAAACCTCTCAACCGTTTGACGGATGTGGTGAGCGATACATGTTATGTTTGTAATGGAAGCAGAGAGAAAAGTGATGTGAGAGAGCCTTGTCTTTTGTACTTTCGAAAATTTTTGCTCAAAATGCGACAGGTGACAGTTAAACTAGAAGAGTGCCTACGATGGATTTTTTCCTGTTTTTTTTCTGTTTTCTGCTTTTCACGAATGAATTCCGTGTTATTCGAAATATCTCATAATCACCTCCCAGTTGTTTTCTATTCACTCATTTTTTATTGATTGAAATGAATGCGATAGGCTAAAGATACTTTTACGATAAATACAATCACGATAAAATGATTTTGCATTCCTTTCTCACTCACATTGGAATTTTACAATGCGACAATTATAATCACGTTTTGCAAGGTTACATCCACAAGAACTGCACTGATAATTACACCACACGGTCATGGTGTAATTATCAGTGCAATTTATTTAAACACGATTTAATTACAATACATTTCAGGTCGAAGATAGGGCTGCATTCACGTGGGTAGTTGCTGTACCCTTTATTGTTTTCTGCACACTTATGACGGCGTTCCCCTACCTAGGGTCTGGGCACACTTAAATGTGATTTGGTTTCAGAGTATCGAAATATTGCAAAGATGTTTATTACTTTGCGTTACATTCGCATCTTTGCGTTTAATATGCATTGGTTATTTCCAAATGTCACTCCTAATTAAACCTACGTCTTTTCTCACCGCTTTCATTTATTTTTATTCCATTTTCTTTGGTCACTTCCTTCAGATTGGCCCTTTTCGGTACCTCATCCCTTAATCTGCCACTTTTCAAGAAAAAATCATTTTTCCTAATCCTAGCTTTGCAAGCGAGCGGAATTTGCATACTTGTAAGCATCGCCCAAATCAACGCCCTGTAAAATTCTGTTGTCTCCCAACCTTAAAGCACATGACTAAAATTTTAAAGTGACTCCTAGTAATAATAATTTCTATTTCGGGTGTTCTATGCCACATAAATTTTTTACTATTGAACTCTCTGTGTTATCAAGCCACGTACTCAGTATATTTTATTGCTATTGGACTTTCCATGGACCCTTGGAGGTCGCGACCTATAGTTTAAGAAGCGCTGGTATGAACACTTCGTATAATTTCTTTTACATTCACTAAATGAATGGATATACTCTTCCAAAACGAAATTGAAAATGTCATCAAGTTAACTGAACTGAACCATTCAATGCCTTGGTTCAAAAGAAAAACATCAAAATAGTTCAGTGTCATCAATTTCTTCATTTTTACGATGCAGTTCTCTTGAAAACCATTCGAAATTCAATTCGAAAGGGAACGACTTTAGAATGAGCGTGATTCGCAAAAGTTAATGCAATTTAAGACTTTAGAAAAAAATCTAATATTTTTATTTATCGCAATCAAGAACCCTCATAAATTGGATCTTATGTTGAATTGATAACTCAGTTTCAGAAATGGTTGTATGAAATGAAAACTTAAGCAACTAAATGTTTTTCACATCCATCCTATTACAAAAAAAGGCTGATGTAAAATTTCGAAAACTCAAGTGTTTTTTGGCAATTTTATTGCAATTTTTCATGCAATACACTCTTTCGTTACCCTCTTTCGAGTGTGAACACTAGACATAATATGGGACGTCTAAAGAGCACTGCAGGGAACTGGAATAATGATCAGAGAACGTGTCAATCTCTTAATTTGATAAAATTTAGGTTGGTAATTGGCTCATTCATTCATATGAAACGCCCCTCAGTTGGACTGACTGTGTATGTCCGATTCATGTCATTGAACATTCATATTGTGCATAATGATCGAATTATTGTCTTTATTACTGAATTTTTGGATATCATAGTAACAGTTCTCATCAATGTATTGATATTGTTTTTGTTGTTATAGAATAGAATGGCTTTTAGAAATAATACCGAAGTAATGAGCGTCAAAGTGATTTGTTGTTCGTGATAACATGTGTGTCACCTTACTCAGTCACGACCTTCAGCAGGCCTGACTGATGCTCATTCAGAAGGTGTGTTTTTATAGAGAACAACTCAGAGAGGTTGTATGAATGGCACGTATCTCTCGTTATGAGTTGCTTTCAAGTTCAGTCGGTGCTCTCGTACACATCCTCTTCGTTGCAATACCAAAAGATTTATGGCGGTGGCGGAATTTGACACCGAAAGATGTTCGCAACAAAACAATTGTTATCACTGGAGCTGCATCTGGACTCGGTAAAGCAATGGCCGAATTGTTTGCTATTGATTATGGCGCTAAAGTGGCTATCGTTGATGTGAATGAGGTGAGCGTATGCGTCCATGTAGATATGCAGCTATTGCTTGTAACTTTTAATCGTTAAAGGAGCATGTAGAAACGTGATTAGTTAGGTTAAAGGTGTGCATCGCAAATCCATATTTTAACGAAGACACCGGATACTTCGTCAACCAAACAGTTAAAATCGATAATTTGTATAGGTAATCAGACACGAGTCAAATTGGATTCAATTCAGTTTACCGACTTTCTCCCATTCGTAGTGAACGTACGTACGTTTTCTCCAAAAACGATTTGTCTACCACTGTCAGTGAAACGCTGAATCATTCGACCACAATAAAAATTATCGGTATCCGTTAATTTTGAGTTTACACAGATCGAGTCACTTGATACGACTGGAATTGAGGATAGGCGGAAACAGTAGCTATCGCGCACTTGTTTTGTATGAGAATAAGCAGAAATGACGTTAAATAATTCACACCGAAATGTGAATATGATACAAAATTCCAAGTGCGAAGAAAATTTTTTAATATTGACTGTAACTTCTGAATTTCGAAAGTTATTTCTGAGTATAATGGCAAATGTTGAGCAAGAACGATGGAAGTATTTATCATTTTTTCGTTTGAAAAATTTTTTTCTTCCATGAAATGTAGAGGAATGAAAAAATTTTTCAAGGAAGACATATTCTGAAAGCAAACATATTTGAAATATTATTATGGGCTTCAAAAAAATCGCAGTAAATATTCATTTTTTTCAATCAAATAATACTGATGCAGTTGAGCGAATGCTCCACTTACAATTAATGTCAGTCGACCACATTCCAATGAGAAGAGTTATTAATTCTTTTAGGACTCTTGAATCCAATATTTTTACAGAACAGGAATTTTTCAACATGAAGAGTAGTAATTGTAATTGAATCCTTTATAAATGAAAATATGGCAGTAAATTTTGAATGCGTGAGTACACTCCGTATAACATCATTTCAACTTTTTTCAAAATTCTTAATCGATTAACGGTTCCCGAGATGATCGTAAATTACACGAAGCATTTCAAATTCAGTGAAGGCATTAATTTGTTAATAAAAAAATTGGCTGAGTTAATTAACGATGAACAAAATTATGGTTATGAATTTGTAGGAAGGAGCAATTGAAACAGCAAAATCAATAATCGAACGCAACGGCATAGCGCATTCATGGATGTGCGATATCAGTGATGCCGAACAGATGGATAAATGCGCTGACGAGATTCGTTCGAAGTTTGGTTCGATTCTTACATCTTTCAATGTCTCTTCATTACTTGATCTCGTCCACAGAAAACGAGCTCAGCGTAGCGTTCGCTTGATCCATCGCTCTGTGATCATGTTCCTTCACACGCGCTTAAACCTTGAACAGAATGTTGTTTGCCACAGCGTGCCACTTCCGTCTGGTGTTTTCAAATGGCTAATTTTATGTCTTCTCCTGAAAGATTCCATCGAAATTATGCTAAAACATACTGTATTTTGAAAATCATAATACTTTCAAATGAAACTGCAGATCAAAATGGAGTTTAAGAATATACATTGCAGAATTTAAGCATTGCAAAATCAATAAAAGTACTAGAGCTGAAGTGATTCGAATCAATAATGTTTGCTGTTAATTGATCTGAGGTGAAAAATAGGTGAATCAAATCAAGACGAACTAAAGCAAAATTGAACGAATCAATCGATGTAATGAAAAATGACAAAATGAGACGTTTGATGATCTGCTCCGATTCAATGCTGAATCCAATTTAGAATAACCATCAAACAGACCTGACCAACACCCGTTAGAAAAATTACTCTCAAACTGTAAATGGAACAATCTGCATATCGTTTTGAATTTCAACTTATTTTAAATTCTGATTCAATGAGAGACATTGATTCACTGAAGCATATGGTATTCATGCATGTAGTTTTGTTCAAAGCAATATCTGACTTACGCCATTCGATCTGGAATCCTCAAAGGTGTTTTTTATTGTACACGATCCTTTCTGAGTACGGTTCAGATGAGTGATTCAATTTTTGAGAAATGTCGGACACTAATCGTTGAAAGAATTGCAAATCATTTATTTTTGCAAGCAAGGGATAAATTTATCAGTTTAAATTTCAAATTTAATAAACGTTCAATGGTGGTTACGTGAAGTATATCTCATAATTTGGATCAGTACTATTGGAATGTGGTCAGAGTGAATAATTGAAAGGAATAGATCTCTGCGAGTTGTTACACACAGTTGGTGGCATGTAAATCATCAAATTCAGGACAAGTGGACATCGTAATTTGTAATGCAGCGATTCTCTTCTTTGGTCATGCCCTTCAACTGACTACAGCACAACTGCAGAAATCATTCAATGTCAACATAATGGGCACTGTTAATGTTCGTTATGTTGCATACTTAAGGATCTCTTCACTGTTGAACACGACATTTTTAATCGTTATGATCTGAGGCGAAACGAACTTCTGACAACTGAAGAAAGTTGTCTATAATCAGTATTACTTGCAACGTTGGAATGAATCTACACATTTAATTAACTGTAAGACAAACAATGCGATTGCAGAGAAGAAAGAAGATTGCTGTATATTATGTGATATGTTAAGCAATCGCAAGAAATATAAAATTCAAATGATTGATGGTGCGCTCAAATCTAAAATAGAATACAGTGAAGAAAGAAGATAAGGTGGATGGGATTCGTTAGCGAGATACTTGGTGTTACCTGATTCACTCAAGAGCTTCGATGGCGTCGTTTCAGACAATACGAGCATTTTTGCGTGATATGGAGGAACGGAATGATGGCCAAATCGTAGTGATATCGTCAATTGCCGGATGTTTTGGAGAAACAAATGGTCTTGCTTACTGGTCAGCTTTTCACTGATAACTTCATTCGAATCAGTCTTATCAGATATGTTTCGCATTTTTTTCACCTACCAACCACCAATATTTTACCTGCCCTTTCAATTCGTGAACTGCTCTTGTGGGGGTCAAACTATTCATAATTAGATTGTTCATAGGCAGTCAGTTTCAGTTCGCTGACTCTCAGCACATATAGCCAACTAACAGCTATCGATGTGAGCGAATTACAATTCTTTTAGTGTGATATGACCGATTATGAATACTTCGGATTTCAGTCCAAGTAAGTTTGCGGTTCGAGGAGTGATGGAAAGTATCCAAATGGAGATGAGAGATCGAGGTTTGAATGGGATTAAGTTCACGACCATTTATCCGTATTTCGTTCGAACACCAATGATTCTCAAAATGGGAATGCGACCAACGTCATCGTTCGTTTTGATTTCGACATTTAGGCATTCATCATAATCGATCGGTTCCTTTGCTTCCCTCTTCAATTAATCAAACACCGATTCGGTTGCAAATCTCTCATTGAGTGTCATCCAAATGCACTGCTCTTATGATTGTTTGCACCTTCAACTTTCCTTCTCCATCTTTATACAATTGAACCGGTCAACTGCAACAGACCAGTCGTATGATATATCCTTTACGTCTTTTACGCATACAAATCAAATCTTCATACGTTCTCACATAAGAATCATTCACCTTCAAATTTCAAATCTATCAATTTTGATTAATCATTGTTATCAATTGACGTTATTTCCTAGCAAGTTTAATCCGTTATTCTTGCTTATTCACATGCAGTGGATAGTTGCGATATGCATCTCTACTGTTCTCGTTCACAAAAGTTGCAGGGTGTTCCCGTTTATGTCAGTTTTGCGGTGTTCGAAAGAAATTGTTGATGCTATTCTGAAGGAGAAAATAATTGCGTTCATACCTAATTATCTCAATATCGTTCCTTCGTTTAAAAAGTACCCTTCAAATCTTATTTCGTTACGCTCTTTTAACAGCAACCTCCACCATTATTGGCTTATAATTCACCTATTATAACTCATAACTCGTGAATCGCTCACGCTTCATTCCATTGGCTCATTAATGGATTATTGTTTGAATTATAAATTTTGATACATCAAAAGCAAATGATCAAATGGATTATTCAGTACACAATATCAAATATCGTTTAAGAAATAATCCCGTGAGTGTTCTAACGTGACATTTGAATGATTCGGGAGGTAATCACTATTGTCGTTGATATAATCATTGTTCTTACTTCAGCTTGACATCAAATAATGTGAGGATGGCAATAAGAGAATATCTGAATTGTCGCTATGAACCAATGGAAAAACTCGAACTTGAAAAGGATCAGCAGTGTACATTATCAAAAAATATTGATTTCTTCAAAAAACTTGACCTGCTGTGGAAATGCCTTGCACAGGCGCCATTATTTGCGGTTACGGTAACGAATCTTTGGTTCATTATTGTTTCAGATTAATCGCATACTCAACATTGATCAGCATTTTAGTGAATTATCAAATGATGCTAAATTAGTGAAGCGATCACACACTTTTGGTGTGAATATCGAATGATATAGCGAAGTGAAATCAACATTAATTATTTAGTGGTTCAGGGTCACAATTTCATATTTGTTAGTGATGAAGTTATGAGAAGAAAGTGTATAACGGGATGACGTTCATCTAATGATCCTAATACGTTCGACACTTGCCATGGAATGCAAACAAAATGAACAAATCGTTCTTGCTTCTTTTTTTCTGCTTTCATTTGATGAATTGAAAGTTGCCAATGTGCCAGACCAAACCTCAGAAGTTTATTCCTCCAATGGATTACGAAATTTCCCTACCTGCATAATGTTATCGGGAATTTCAGGTATTTTGGATAATGGGTCAGATAACATTTTGGACGTTTGTATTCGTTTTATTTGTTACATCACTATTACAGTTATTTGCATCGATTTATGTGGTGATCTTATGTGACAAACTGGAATTTTCATTTGTTTGTACTTATAATTGGTTTATGCAAACCGTTCTTTTCGGATTACCCTCACTCGTCCTTCTTTTACGTTATGACAATAAAATGTCGCAGTGAAATAAACATTAATTGTTTATTGTTGATTTCTCCCGAATCAACATTTCTGTGCTCAGTTTCGTGAGAAATTTCATCAAATATGCCAACGGATTACATTGAACAATACTGTTGAAGTGAATTTCTTTGAACAAGAAACAAACAGGTTGTTCTGACTGATTCATGATGTTTACCTGGTGTGAATTATGGCAACCATTGCCTTCGCACTCGGGTACTTGCTACAGAGAACGTCATGTAGTACATGAGTGATAAACAGAGAGCAATCGCTTTTATGGCCATCACAGTACCGCCAACTGATTACCATCACTGTTGCCAATCGAAGTTGACCGAGGGAACATATCCACTGATAGGGAACATATCCACCAAGGGAACATATTCATGAGAATACTTTCGTGTTCGGGATGGCTTAAAAGTTTCAGGCACTATATCCATCAGTTCATCAAAAATGGCAGATCAAATGGATATGATAAGAGATTATGGATTTCACGAGCAAGCGCAAAAGCAGTGTGAGGTGGAGAACTGAAAACACAATGAGAACCTGCTTTCACTTTAAAAACCGTCAGCAATTTTTACTGAAAGTTTACTCTCCCAGCCTCGTGGATACCACAAGCAATTCCGATATCTCAAATCAGTTGTAACGTTTCAACACTGAGATGGATGCTTGTGAACTAAGGGTTATTTTGATGAGATGCCTGAATATCAAAGAATAATGCCACTTTGAATGTGAACCACTTTCTGAATTCTTGATTTTTGACAGCAGTTGTAGAGATCAATTTTTCAGTACCGAAAAGTTAAAACGAGTGAGCTTCAAGAATGAATTGAGAAATAAGTACAGAATCGGATTGTGTTTGAGATGTAAATATAAATATAGTGAAAGTTTAAAATCGGTACCAAATTGAATGTGTAAAGTTCGAAAGATGAAGATGTTATGGGCAGTAAATACGGATAATGAGGGTGGACATGGAAGAAGGACCCAGTGTAGGAGAGAATGTATAATAAGTTAATGATAGAGATAGAAATGAATGCTCACCAATCGCTCTTTGACGCTTACGTATTGTACATATTGGTTGGTATTAGGGTTTGCAAAATCCCGACGATTTTTCAATCCCGGGATCGGGATTTAATCGCGGGATCGATTTTTGATCCCGGATAATCCCGAGATCGAACAATTATTGAAATATCGATGAGGGACATGTTTAAACACATTTTTTCGAACAAATGTGTTCATTTTTAATCAGAAAGGAGCTAATTGAACAAATTATTGAACAAATCCAAGGAATTAAGTATTCAAATTCAAATTAATATTTCATATAATGATGCCAATGATCACGCCGCAAGGGCATACTGCATATTCTATGCTAAGGCATCTTGTCATCTCGGGTCTAAGCTAATAACAGTGCACTTACATGTGAATATGAAATTCTTGATTCTCAAACACTTATTTGCAATGCTTCAAGTCCCTTTTCTCTCAGTATTAACGTCAGCTAAATTCTGCTATTTTTTTTTACGGAAGTAATGCACCGCATGAATTATATTATTTGAATTTGAAATAATTAAAAGTTCGAAGTTTATCTAAAAAGGTAAAAAAATATCCGCAATGGATTTTCATCGAACCATCGAGCACTTACATATTTGACAATTTCGATCAAAAATCATGCAAATGTACTTGATATTGAAGCTTAAGATCCTTTTGAATGGAACAACTTTGCTCACTTCGGCAATGAACTCTCACTACGAGTGAACTCAATGAGAATTTATGTATATTTCGATCGGATGAAAACTTTTCCAAATAGCGAAGTAAAAAGATTTGCAGTCTTTGGAACATGCAGTTGAATTAACAGATGGAATATTGAAGCCGAACAAGTCTTGTGGGACGAAACGACTCAAAATTTCATTGAACTTTTTTGCTCTTGGTTTTTATTAGAAAATGTGATTATCTCTGTTACTCTATTACACAGAAATGCATCCAGATGAGCGTGATATAAACCAATGAAGAGCAGAATAATCAGTAAAATATTCAATGAAATGTTACGTAAAAGTTCATCGAGCTGTCGTTGATCATGTCAGTCGTCCGAATTGCGTCTATTTCCTTAGCTGAAAATCAATGATAGAGGGCAAACAGCAAAGACAACTGCATATAAATTAGATGGTAATGACTAAGGCTTGCTTCAAGATGGGCCTACTATCAAAATTAACACAAATTGATCTGTTTTATCAAATCCTGAAATCCCGGGATTTTTCAAAACTTAAATCCCGGGATCGGAACTGTAATTCCGAGATTCCGGGATCCCGTGCAAACGTCATTTTTAGTTCTTTCGTTCAAGAACACTTCTTATGTTGTTTTTCTCTCTCTTCTTTCCATTTCTTTTCCGATATATGATGTTTTTTTCATCTGGATGCAGATGTGCGGACCTGTTGGCATACCATTTCGGTATCGTTAACTCACGTATCTTTTGTTACCAGTCAATTCGACCGTTGCAATTCCCAGCATATCTGTTAGTTTTGGAAACGGAGGAATTCCAGTGGTGGAACACTGCAGAATGGGAGGAGTGATTTCGGACAGAGAAAAATCACCCCGCCAGAGGTTTCCTACTTCTCGTGTTGGAAAACCAGGAAAATATGGGTAATTCGAGCCTTTCTAATCGTGACACTTCGAAAAATTGGCATTTTGACTTTTGTTCTTCAAATGCAAACTTGCTATGATTAAGGTTTATTGAACACAAACCTGATGAAATCTTAGAGAGGAGGCGTTAGAAAAAGGCACTTTTTAGAATTCTTTTCGTGCCAGAAGCAAAAAAGCAATAATATTTGTTTAATATTAATACTTGGCGATAAAAATAACAAAATATTCAAATGAAATATGAAAAAAAAATCATAATGAAATAATAAATTATGAAATAATGATGATCTATGAACCACTGAACCAGCAACAGAAATGCACAAATTTAAAATGACAAGCAAATTCGGTGTTTCACGGCTATGAAATACTAACAACAAGCCTCAGACTCATGAAAGTGCTCAGCGTATTTTGGTCTTTTCGCACTTTAGGGGTGGGGGAGTTAGGCAGACAGCGATGTCGCTGAGCAACTTAGCGCGGGCCTGAAGGCTGCGCCTGAGCCTCAGTCTGAACCAAGCACGGGTAGCTTATGAAATATGTTTGTCTTTATCTTCACACCTATTCAATAGCCGTTACTGTCGTTAGCATATCGTTGTTAGTTTAATATTATCGTCGTGTTGAATTTTAACTGAAGTTAACGTCTTCAGAAGTGATTAATTATTTGACTTGATTGTAAACGTTTTATGTTTCCGCTCATTAGTTATTTGCCATTACCTTCAAAAAAGACGATGTACTGAAATGAAAATGATGAGTCACACCGCCTGAATATTTCGCTTTATCGCACAATTATTTTGCATTTCTGATTGTTGTTATTGTTACGGCATTTTGAGTATTTGTGTACGATTGTGTGCGGTGGTTGAGAAGAGCTGTGAGGTTGTGCACCGATTTTGAATAATTTATACTGCTTATTCATTCATTTTTCAAATTTATCAGTTCCATTTAACACCTCCAATCCTCGTTACATTTACAAATATTCATTTACAACTATTCTGCATCATTCAAAATTGTTCATTTTGTCGGGATGACTTACTTTGCAACATCAATGGAGAAGTTTTTGATCATGCAAAATTTTGGTTCGGCATTCGTTGCATTTCAGTTGGTCATATCATTAATATTTCATGGTGACTACTGTTTGAAAAGTTTAGGCACTGGAAAACCACACGTTGGAAAATTTGTCAGTTTAGGAGGAATTTGATTCCATTTCAGACGGGTTCTCATTCATGGGTTCACCTCATATACAACTTTTTCCAGCGATCGGCATTAGCGCGCTATCGTTAATTAGCGAAATTTAACGAAATAGCTATTTCGCTAATTTGCTAGTTAGCGATAGCGTGATAATGCCCATCTCTGGCTATTCCCCCATTCTACCTATTTTAGAGAACTATTCGTTCAATCTCCCCTTCTCCCTTATTCGGTTTTACCACACAGCATCAAGAGTGCCCCTCACCATGACCAGTGCAAGGTTTTACTGAACAAGCCATACTGTGGCATGTGGTCACATCATGCTTTGGCATAGCGACTCACGGCTGGTCCGAGCGGTTACTTTGTTCGATGGAGTGATGTTATCGGATAAAATTTGAAGTTGAATTTGGCCGAGTTGAAATATTTCAGACCGAAAAGCAGTGCTGTTGCGGTATGCTAGCGTTAATGCTGGCTGTGAAACGGCATGTCGCTGATGGTTATACTGTTTTGAGTGTTCTGAACAAATTGAATGCCTCGTTTTGTTCATTTCCGATGTGTGTGTCACCCCGAGCAATTAACGGTTCATCGAAAGACACCACCACAGGTGCTTGTAACTCCGATCCTGACGAGGTATATTGTTAGGAATTTTTTAAAGAAAGAATTTTTGATGAAATATTTTTCTGAATAATTCTCGCATAAATTCAATTGGATTTAGTAGAACAGGTTAAATAAGTCACATTCTGTCATTGGTATTTGTTCAAAATAGGAATTCTTGAGTTTAATTGAACAGTATACCGATGCTCACTTTTTGAGGCGGTTCAGAGGTCTTCATTCTTTGGAAACATGTAACAGTATAGAAAGCGTACAGCAGAAGTCTAATGCTGTATCGTTAACAAATTCAGATAAAATATTAAAGTGATGTAATGGTAACAACTGTAAGCATTGTTGAATCATTTCCAATGGGTAGTTCAAAGTTGTCAACGTTCAGGTTACTCAAAGGGAAGATTGTTCATGTTCGTCACAAACAGACAGAGATATACATCCAAATAATGACACCATCAAAGTGGATACGAATCAGCAGAAGTTAAAACGTAAGTGGATGGGTAGACGTGCTCATGCAGTTGCGCTCCGAACTCGTATCAGTCGATTACGATCTGAAGATGCACTTGAAATCAGCAGTCTTCAATCGGAGGTAACGTTTAACATCATTGAAGAAAATATGCGATTCATGTTGTTCATTACTTTTTGTTTGCAATTTTATTTTATTTTATCACTACTTTATTGTTCATCATGTTTTCGGTAAACGTACAATATAGATTGGAAGGAATGATAAGTTGGATATAAAAGTGATTGAATCAATTCGGTTGTTGTTATTGTTAGAATTTGTAGAAAAATGAAGAGGTTCAAAGGAATGACCAATCTTGTGTGGCTGAAGTTGAAAGGGATTTGGAACGACGAGCCAACGAAATGATTAATATCTTAAGAAACGGCGGCGCATCCAACGAAGTCCGCGTTCAACCTGGTGCAAGTCAGGTACAGTTCCCCTGCATAGTTCACCGTTTACGTAGAAATTGTTTCGTACAAATTCATTTCGGATTACTCGAATCTGCTCTAACTTATTTTACCGCACTGTTCCAAATCGTTCTGTAGTTGTATGCATTTCTAGGCTAGGGTGGATCAATATTACAGAGTGTTTTTGAATTGTATCAAATTGATCGATCGTTTTGGTGAAAAGAAATTATAAGCGAGAAACGGAAGGAAGCAAACTCGCATCATTTTGGAAATTCTCAGTTGAATCGTGTATTAGTTTAGTACCGATTTCATTCTGAAAGTTGATCCTCTCCTTCAACCAAACTGAGACGAATCAATTGTGACGATAGGGATTGTCATTATTGGTGCGCATCGTAAACGGTCATCGATCATCCTTTGCAGAAGTCGGAAGATTTAACTGAGCAAGATTCATCGATACATGTGAATCGATATCGGAAAATTATTTATTCTGAAGGTGAACTCGATTCTTCTGATCTTTCGCTTCCACCGTCCAGGTATTTTTTATTGCAGTGTTAGAATCGTGAATGTTGCAATCATGCCATTGTTTTTTAAAATGTAACAGACTTATTATACAAGGTTCTTATTGTAATCCTGAAGCCTCATCTTATTATATTATCATTCTTCCGATATTACACTTAAGACATTGCAAACTATGGAATAAAGATATACGCAGCCATACAATGTTTGCATCTTGATGATAATACGCGTGACAGATGTTTATTGATCTTTACGTGTAAATGATATTGACTGAATCGTTTGATTTTCTATTCATTGTCTGTAACACACTAATTGCGTGCGAGGCTTGGTTGAGTGATCTGAGTGCGAAGAATAGCTCCCTGACTGGCCAATAAAACGATTCTTTCAGCACGAATCCTCATCCATTCGATCCGTCAGCGAATCCATCACTTTTACCCCCCACGCATTCTCGTGCTTTAACCACCTATGTGAATCATTTAGCACTTCTTCAAAATCTTGTTCATCTTGGTGTTGATTTATTGGAGGTTAGTGCGATTCAAAACATCTTTCATCATACACGTTTTTTGATTATTTCATTATGCAGTTGTTGATTTTGAAAGGAATACAATCCGTTCGTCTATTACTTCAGTTCTTTTCAAGAAGGTGTCAGTTTGTGAGCGGTCGAACTATAGTTTGGAATTGATCTGACGATCATAGTGAGTCGATTCTGTTCTGTTTCGTTCTCGTTGGAACCGATCAAACGTTCACATTTGAACGCTTATCAAACGTACTGCTGCGATAATCAAATCTGTTGTTGATTCGAAGTATGACGAAATCATATTTTGTTCAGGTTGATACCAATAATAGTCAATTAGGGCGTCATTTGATTCGGTTAGATTGGAACCGAGATGTAAGACCAAAATTGGAGTGGCTGTTGGAGACGGGTGTACCGATTACTGATCTCGGTTCATATTTGACAAGAAATCCTTTCTTTCTTATCATTGATCTCGATTCTATGAAGGTATCGATCTTATCTCACATAAATTTTATCGACTTTTATAAATTACGTGCATTGATTGAAATCTTGCAATCACTTTCATTATTGTAATCGAAGATTTTTTATCATCTGAATTCATCTCAAATTTTTATTGGTTTTAGCTACGAAGCTACCTGGATAGTTCCATCTTTGCTTTATTTTTATTACGGATTTGATGGCTCGATGGAAATCAGAAACATCCATTGCCTCGGCTAGAGTTGATAGATTCTGTTCGTTCATATCCGAATCCTTTGTTTTTTTTGGATTCATTCAGATAGCAGGAATAATTTTGGCTGCCGGATGAGAACCCGTTTCACATGCAGTCTACCAGCCGTCTTCAACAAATAAGCCATACTATTATGAATTTTAAATTGATCAACTTTTAGGTTCGAGTGAATTATCTTCGCTCGAAGAAGTTTACCAAAAAGCAAATTGTTAAAATTATTACTGAGTTCAGGTTTGTAAAGTTTGTTTATCTTCATGAGGTTTTTGTTTAAATCATTTGTAACAGTTTGTCAAATATCTATTAGAACATCTGAAATTCAGAACATATATTCTTTATTTTTAAATCGTTTAGTGATTACGAGTCGCCCACGGCAGTGTTTTGGATTCTAAAAGCGATTAATTATTTAATGTTAACTGTCATAAAAGATAGTAGTGTTTCAAAGTGAGAAGATTAAGTTGATTTTTGTATTAGAGAATGAGATGTATTAATCAACTAATATTGAGTTAATATTCATTTACTGTGTGTGATTGACTCATCAGTCTTATACATCAACTGCTTGAATGTTGAGGTATTGGTTGAATACTGATGTACGCACAATGGATTCACGATTAGGATGGATTCAGAAGTCATTTTCATTGTCCGCGGATAGAATGCGATCGTTAATTGTCAAGGAACCTCGTATTGTTATGTTTGGAATTGCTCCTCTTCAGGTAACATTCAGTGTGTTGCTAGAATTTATCTGCCAAGTTAAACTTTTATTGGGTCGTTTTAAGGGTGGTAAGTGTGGATGAGCAATAACATGAATTCAGTTTAGACTATTTTTGAAACAGAATCGAGCTTAATGTTAGTCTTAAGCTAAGGCTGAGGTTCAAGCATAGAGAGGGTTGAATTAAGGTTTCCCCTAGAAGTCAATTCGGTTTTCATAGGCGTGGGACTATCTTGTTATTGCCACTTGATGGTAGTTTTTTAATTTGCGTATTTCGAAATTGGCGTTTCATTCAGCTTTTGCCTGTTTCAATAATCGTGAATTGTTCATTGCAGAGGATAAGTGACATGCTCTTAAAGGAGATGGAATTCTCGAAATATGAAGTGAAAAAAATGTTGTTAGAGGATCCTCGTCTTTTCTTGATGGGTACGGTTTGAGTTGTCTTACAAATACATATGTATAGATAATTTTTTTGAGATTTAGAATTATTTCGCATTCCAACTCAGAAGAGTCTGTCTTTTGGTCTAGAGATAACCTATGCGGAATGAGTTGCATAAAGTTGTATTGCGTGAAGTTGATTGATGAAAGTTACATGAAATTTCCATGACGATTAGTGCATTTTCAGAATTATACTTGTATATAGACTTGACACATCATATGGCAGTGTTTTATTATGAAGTGACTTAAAAGTGTTTTGTAGATGCATCGCACATAACAATGAGTTATGCGTATTTACATTATACGATGGGTTTACAAAATGCTCAAATAGCGAATTATCCGTTGGCGTTGAGGTGTTCAATTGCATCGATTCGACGTCGACACGAATATCTTGTGAAGTTGAAACGAAACAACTATATCGAAGGTACACCGGATGCAGTTTCATTGAAACAATTGTTACACCCATCTGATCGATATTTTGCTGTGAATGTTGCACGAACGTTTCTTGTTGCTTACAATCAATTTCTGAAAACGTGATGACAGTCTTGCATCTGCGGAGGATCACAAATCTGCCCAAATTTCCACTGCATTCAGTCTTTACACGTCCCCGTATTGTCGACACCAATTTGCTCGCAATAAGCGCTGAATACTTAACAATAAATCATGCACTTCTGAATACCATGTGATCGTTTTGTTTGACAGCTTGAAGATATGATTGAAAAACGATGTGGAGAGGTAATATCGTGATTCATCTCTTTGTAACCATATTTCTATTCGATATTGCTCATTATTCATAGCCTTATTCCAACGTGTATTGCACATTAAAAGTGCTTGATTCCGTCGTGTAACATTGAAGACAGCTGAATTTCTGTTCTACCGGTTTTACCCTTACAACAGTCACTATTACTCGCCTGATCCTTAATCAGTGTCTTATAACGTTCCCGGACTAAATTGTTGTAAGTTTTTGAGTTCGTTAGGGTAAAATTAGGTTCACTTGTGTTGTGGTGATTTAAAGAATTCATTGATTGGTTGATTTTGTTGAGCGTAATTACAAAGTTGAATTCTTGCACTATAACTGACTGTTTATCCGATGCGTTACTTCAGAATTTTTCAATCGATTTTGTTCGCATTATCTCTAGTCTTGTTGAGTTTGCCGCTTGTGCTGACAGTGAGCAAGAATGCGGTGAAAAGTGTATTCCATGAAGTGTACTGTTGTTGTTGTCGTTGTTGATGAGTTTTAATGCTAACTTCCTCGAGAATTCATTCTCTTGAGTATCATTAAGCGTGTCATTATGAAGGTTCCCAAAATGTGTTTCAGCATCTTTTTGGATGGATATCAGTTACAGAAATGATTTCTAACAGAAGATAAGCTGTATATCACTTTCGATAGATTATATATACTATATGACATGATAAATTTTATATAATTTGTATTTGCCTTAATGAAATCTTCATCTCAAATACGCAGTAATGAAAAGAGCTACAAAACAGTGACGGCAATTAATACCAATAGGATGTCATAGGTAATGTAACGTATCAAATAAAATCTTTACTTATGACAAATATCAGTCACAATTACATTTCAAATGATTATCATTTACTGCACTGTTCGAAGTTGGCAACTCATAAGCTCTAATGCTGTACTCCGCGACCAATCGAAGTAATTCTGCCGTAAGAAAGGAGAGGTTCCTCTGAATCACTCACAGTATGCTCTAGTGTGTTGCCAGAAACGAGGCTTCGTTCCCGACACTTTTCAAGGCGACGGCGTTTCAGGGGTCCCCGTCCCAGACTTCTTCGTAATTATTAAGGAACCCGTTCTCTCTGGAAATTGATAAATTCGGATCAAAGCGTCAAAAACGTGAACTTAGTTACGATTTCACCAACAATATTTGGTATTGTTATATGCTGCGGTTGAGAGGATGTCCAGTCTGCGACTGCTCAACACGGCAAGAAAGGAGGGGGTTTGGTCAGCGGGAGCGTAACGTGAAAATATTTCGTTTTGAGAGGGAAAACGGGAAACGGTTTGTAGTGCGAAAATGGTCGCTCGATATATCGGTAGGAGCTCGTTATGAATTTTTTTGAAGAAAACTCCGGGATCGAAGACGAGATTGGGTTTTACCCCGACCTCCCTAAATTTTTTCACTTCTTGGCAACACACTTTTACGAACTCTACACATTAAGAATATCATTCACAGTATCAAAGAAACATCACAAGTAAACATCACAAGGAGATCTAAAATTATCTATGAAAAGCAGGCGACCATTATCATATAATGAACAATTGAAACCGATATCAGTACGAGTGATAAATGTTAGAAAGACGATCTTGCAGAATGTTTAAAATAAAATGTTTTTGAAAGTGACGACAACAATCTGAAAGGTAATTATACATCCGATGATAAACAAACCATATAGAGAGCTAGAATTGTAAATGCAACGATCTTCGCGGAATATAAAACGATTAAATGAGTTTGTTTTGACGTTTAGTGCAGTAAAAATTCAGTTGAAATGAAAACGAAGTACAACAACGTAAGAACTTGATTTTATAAGGTTAAAAAGTAATGACTGAATGTAGAGATTTGTTAGAAAATAAGGTAGTTGTGCAAATAACATGAGATTAACAACCTCAATCTTAATTCAAATTGGAAATGAGAAAGAAGGGGGAAGAAATGTAGGAATTTGTGAGGAAGAAATATAGGAATCTGTGTCATGAATTCAAGTTGAATTACTATTCGTTGCATTCTTTCTGTTGGACTTTACTTTTTCCTACTGATTTCGACCTAACAGTGGCGAAAAATCATCCCAATGATCACTTCGGAATTCAATTTTTTGCTTTCTACTGACTTGCAGACGCCAAAATTTTTCGCTTCTTGTGAAGTATTTTCAAGTGGACAAATTAAACTGAATATAATAATATCATGTTCATAACATGAAAACGATCAGTGACAGAATTCAGCTGACGCCAAATGATATGTACAACACCTCAAGATCAGTAAAACTGAGCAAATCCCGTAAAACTGTCGTTTTTCATCACTGCTTCGAGATTCCCTTGAGACCCATTCAACAAAGGTAGCAGCAGTCCAGTTGAGTCGAAATAATGATAGTGACTTACAACTAGAACTTTCAAAGGTTTCTGTGGGATTGAAACAGTTACGATCAAATGAACAGTTAGCTCATTATTTACGGTGCATCATACTTCGACAGCGATTTTTTGTTCATGACTAAACTGAACCAGAAAATTACAGAAATAAAAAACAACAAATGAAGACTCACTATCAGCAAATTCATACTTCTAACACCTTTCACCCTCCATCTACTTCCCGAAAATAATTTAGTAAAACAAAGAGACAAACCTAAAAAATAACTACCATAAGATATAACTACGATAAATTCGCATTTTACAAACAGAATGCATCAGCACATTTATGAGAGTTTAAATGGGATAAGTCATCGAATATACGCGCGAGATTATCTTGCGACCTGTTTCATACAATTAGTGAAATAGTTTTGTGTGGAAGGACGCACAACTGAAGTAGATAATGAAAAGGTCAGTGAAGTGAAAAGCAAGAAAGAGGAGAAAAATGAATTTATGATGATTAAATGAAATAAACTATTTGAGCGCTGGATGACTCAAGTCGACTCAAAGCTTTTTCGTTTGGAGATGTGTTTTATCATTTATTGGAAGTGTCATGTGTAAAGCAAACTGTTTTTTCGATATGAAATCGGCATCGTAGCGAAATGAAAATCCAGATATCGAAATAAAATTACACTCACCGACCGACATTGCGATGCAGTTCATAAAATACTTTGAAGTAGATAATCAAAAAGAATTTGATAAATAACAAGAATACAACTGATCGATGCAAAAGACTGAGTCTAAAGCATCAGTAAAATCAAGACTGAATGTGAAATGGTGCACAATTATCTGAAGGATTCACCGAGGTACTTCCTTCACCGGGTGGTAATTTGGCTCTTTCCACGAGAGGACTTCCCTCTTCGACGTCTTTCTCAACTGCACACAACTGATTATCAACCACGGATGAGAGTTGTTTAACACCGTAAACTTCATCCGTTCCTGATTGTTTCTTCTTGATATATCGCATCAGAGCATGGATACCGACTGCTGTTAGCAACGGTATAGGCGTTAAGCTGGCCGCAATCACTGGGATCAGAGAACTTATATCCGCATCAGGATCCGGGAACGAAAACTGAAAACAACTCGAAAATATAAGATATGATCCGAACTGATACTACTGCAACATAAACTGATATGGACAAGCGCACAAAACATTCCCATTTAACGCTAACGATTCGGTACGAGAGAAAGCAGTGAGAATATATAGAATACTGCACTTAATTAAATAACTACCTTGAGTAACATAATAGCAATTCCGGTATTCTGAATACCAGTTTCGATGGCAATCGCAGCAACAGTCGACGGTTTCTGACGGAACACAACGGCCGTTATGCAACCGAACGCAAATCCACACCAGGGCAGCAATAAGCCGCTAGAAAAATAACATGTTTGCAAATGTGTTCACTTGATACATAAGCTCAATCGTGAAGTAACCGTGTAACAAGTCAATTTTTTCAAAACATTCCTTACAGGCTAACTCCACTGCATAAAATTCTTGAAGCATAGGATTCACATTAATGGCAACAAAAATAATTCATATCAAAACGAATAATATCACAAAGTTTGTAAATAACATCACAAAACATTTAAATTTCCCAATTTCGTACCATCAATACTTTATAAGTGTAAAACAACCGTCATTTTTGAGCAGATAATGCTAGCAATGTCACTGCGTATTGCAGTCTTATTCGTTGAATCAATACATTTGACACTCATAAATGAGCGTTAATAACGACATACTTTGACACCCAAAGCACTAATCTAAGTGAATCATCGAAACACTCAGTGTTTCTGTACCGGAAAAGCCATCAGGGAGTGAAAGTAATATTCGCAATGCGTTATAATTATAAAACGAGCACAAACTCACCCCAGAAGTGCTGTCCATGTAATCAATCGAACCATGTAAAAATTTGCAATAGTTCCAAACACTATTAAGAAGATGAGCACAAATAAAATGAACGGACGCATGAGCTGAAAGAATTAACGTAAGTCACACGATGACTAAAATTCAATCTGCTTGAATTATGCTTAAAACACCCAGTCATATGAACGATGCAAACTATGTCATCGATATTTCAAAAGAAAAAGACTGCTTAAAGGAAGCATAAATGATATTTCGATCATTACAACATTTACGAGAGGTATTTTCAGTGCGTGAAATAAGATTTCTGACCGAAGAATAAACCAAAAGGTTAAAATAAAATAAAAAAGGTGTTAACAAAAACCTTTCTGGCTTTATCCCGAAAGCATGGCTTCCATTTGGAGATGCATACGCCGATCAACAGTGGTATAACAAGCGTTAACAGTGAACTGACAATCTTCCAGTACGGTACTTTCAATCGCGTATCCGAATCATATCCTTGTAAGAAATGTTGTCCAAATAAATAGATCCATAACGGCATCATTACTAAAAGAAAGCATTTCTTCATATACACCTGTATTCAATTTCTAAAAGTTTCCACACCATGAGAAATGTCAAGAAATTCGCATTTTGTTCAGTCAATTGCGATTGTTTGATGAAAGCAATAATGTAAAGATGTGTGATAGCTGAACATACCGACGGCTGAAAGTGTGCTGATGAAAGTCATAGTGATTGAGACTGGCAGATTCGCGTTCAAAAGCAATGTCCAGTAGTTACTCGCACCCCCACCTGGCGCACATCCCGTAACGAACAGACCCAGTGCAAACGAGTGCATTCCTCGAGATACGAATACAACATTCGCTATGCAATACGCCAACTCAAATAAATTCATATGCACAATTTTGTCAGTTTTATTTCTGCGGTATTGAAACGGGGCATTTTATATAACTGTCTCTCCTGCGATACAAACTTTAGCAGTTTGGCGAACGGACAATTTTTTTTCAGAACCAAACACGAAACACAGTGGACGCCCTAAGCAATTGGGAAAAAAAGGAAGGAGAGAAGGGAGAGGGAAGAAAATAAAAACTTGGAAAAATCCACCACAAAATTCAGCTATTTTTTGGACCAAATTATTTTGCGCCCCCTTCCCAACCCCTGAAAAAAATTCAGACGAACGCCACTGTTGGAAAGAATTAAAAGTGAGTTTAAAAATAAAAAGCGTACAAGAGGCATTGCAATGAATTGAGTACAAAAACCAATCAACGGAGCAACAGGCTTCTTTATTGTCTCCAAAACTATCTTCAAATCAAGCTGAAATTTAAGAAAATTACAATACATTGCGACAGACCAAATCTATTGTTATTGAAATGTAGTGCGATTTGATACGAATGGAACACAAAAAATACGTAAATGAACATCACTCACGGTCAACAGTAACAGTATTCTCAAAAAATGTAATAGTTTTGCAAATAACAATAATTACCTCACATCCCATCAGCATATTGGCGATAACAATGAGGATAATGAGCGTTGTAAGGAAAAGGCGATTAATGAGACGACTCCTCTCGTACGATACCCACACGTCTATCGAAACATCTTCTTCAAGACTGTTTTTGGACTGAAACTTTTTCCGCTTACATGGACAAATATTTTCGTGGATACTGGGAAATACTCATTCAATCGCAACTTGAAATACAGAAAATCGATTACGCAGACAAACGTATGCAATCGCGCAATTCGATTCCCATTTTCGATTACTGACGTCAAAAATCATCTGTTGAAGAATTTGAGATTGCAAAGAGATTTACTTTAATCACTTATGCACATTCATTCATCACGTAACATCCAAAAGATCAACTGAATTTGATTTGTTTTTGTTTTGCATGCAAATTACGCATTCGCTGACAGTGAGCAATTGATAAAAGCATACAGAGTTTCATAACAACCCAACGATGGCGTTCAATTGTTGTACAACAGATATTTACGAAGTATTGCAATGTCAAAAACCATCTCTAATTGCGCAGGTAATACTTCGTCAATAAAAACTTCATTACTATTTGATCTACCTATCACCTTCACGCGCCTTGTAAAGGAGGAAAGCTTCCAAGCATTGCAATGTCATAAAAACACCAGCAACCTAAAAGATTTTAACAAAACACAACAGCCTATAACTTTTAATAAACCTTTACAATAAAAAGAGGGTGATCAATACTAACATTTGCTATCTGCATTGATGATTCATCTTCATTATCATTTTGTTCATTAGCCGTAAAAAGACGAACTTTTACAGCTGTCTTTCCGAGGAAATGACCGGAGAGCGTGAAATTTGTCTGAAATTTTCATTTTTGAAGAAATTACATCTACGTTCATGAAACATGAATATTAAGTTCACGAAATTTTTACGATCTTAAAAGTAATTCTCAAACAAGATCTAAGAAGAAAAAACGGAAATGAAGAAGAGTACCTGAAAAGTTTGATTAGTTGTTAAAGGAAACTGATCCAAAACCAATTCGTTCTCAGCGTCAACCACCGATACAACTTCTTCGTCCATTGATCTGCAATACATACTCTCTTCAACCATTCATCTGAACGGTATAAAAAAATTACTTCGCAACAAACGATATTCACAGTTTTTCATAAAATTTCATTAACAATAAGAAACCTTCAAAATGTGTCAATAAAAAACATAGATTTCGACGAGTATTTCTAAAAAGATTACTAAACGACGAATGCAACCAATTTTTAATAATCCCGTAACAACATATGACGAAAAACCACAAACTTAAGTTGAATTTTCAATGGTCGATTTTTGGCGAACTGTTTGAAATACTCATGATGAGGGTCAATGCCAACAGTCATTTGAAGTGTTGTATTCTTTCCAACGATCAGATCATGTATGAATGGTGGACTGAAGTTGACAGATGTGAATGCATGCAGACTTGAGCTGGTCGCCGAAACAGCGATATTCAGGAGAAGACGTACCAAGAACAGAAGTGGACAACCACGCTTGACGCAGCTACCCATGACTGCATATGACAGTTGAGTTCAATCTAAATTCATCAACTCCATAAAATAACACCTAACAATGAGTGAACACGACGAACAGCGTCAATCAACAAATCAACCTCAAAGCCCACCTCGATGAGCATCTGAAATTTGTTGTTCTTGTTTCAAAAAATCTAATGTTAAAAATTATTCCTTATTTACAAAGCACCAATCACTCCGTAACAAAACACATCGTTTACAAAAAAAACCTACAGTGCAACAACAAAAGTGGCGAATATATTAATGTCATTTTTTTAACGAATATTACGTCATACCACGCACGAATGTCGGGAATTGCCAAATGATTTCTTTTCGCACACAAGCCGCATGTCCGGATATTGGTTGCGAAGGATAATTGGTGACCTCTGCTCATACCTTTATGATTGAAAGCTCTCAGGGATGGTCTACGAACTACGGAACCTACGTTTCGAAGCGCAGCCACTAAATGGAGGACTGTTGGCAGTACAACGGATATCTGTTCGGTAACGATGACGTCTGTTTGGCAAGTGATCGGTCATTAAGCAAGCAATTATTGGTCAGCACGTTCCGAGTTGTTAAGAGTGTAAGCTTCGGCTCCTGTTCCGCTTCTAACTCCAAAATTTGCGCTGCTCTGCGTTGCAATTCGAGTTTGGGAAAAACTATCATACCGGTTATAGTCCGACTGCTGAATGTTGCTGTATTTTTGAGGGAGTCAAAAAAATTTCTTCCTGCTCCGGAGTTTAGGTATCACTGGTCTTTACTTACTGTCGGCAAACAGTACCAAATTTCACAAATATGTTTTCATGGAGAAAGGAAAGAGCAAAATTATTCAAACATGAAAATCGGTTGATCTGAGAGTGTTCTCATTTGATTGAATGATATTTTCAAATCAATAAATAGGTCACAAATTAGGACCGAATTCAAAGATTCGAATGTGAACAGTATTTGTCACAATAAAAACAATTCTCCCCCTATTTCGGGATCATCATAGCTCCCGAGAGAGATATTCCATAACCATACGCTCTGGTTAAATGTCTACAACTTTTGATGGGTTTAGAATCGTCTACGCCCGTCAACTTATTGTCAATCGAAATCTTTTAATCGTGATCTTTGAAGGTTGAATGAGTGATTAATGATTTGAAGGATCGGTATGAATACTCTTCGTGAATAAGAGCTGTTTTTAATTCTACTTTGAGCAAGGCTTTTACGTTTTACATACATTCACAATCACTTATTGATGCTGAATACAGTAGACTATCATTATATATTGCAAAAAGCTGATTGACTGCAAATTTTTGATTTCGTGATAGCACAATTACACAGCACATCCGCGAATTATGTTTGTCAAAGATATTCTCACACATCAACGTTTGAAGATCGAGCTAACGAGGGAACCGCACGGATCTAGGTTGGTCGAGCCCTAAACTTAACGACAGCGCTTCTCATAATGATTGCGGAATCTGCTAAACACCTTCACCTTCCTGAAGTGAACTGTATGATTTCGAGCCATAACAACAGCGCACAGAATTGTGCACTTAGTAAGACGCTGATTCAAGTTTGACGGCACTCTGATTATGCACCATCACAGTTTCTATCACTTAAATCACGTCGTCTATTTCAAATTATCAGATCACTTTTGAATGATGTTTTTTCTCGCTTCATTTGCGACACAAAGAAGAACGGTTGTCACCTTACGGAAGAGTCATGATCGTTTGAGAGCTCAGCTGTCACCTGGTATGCATGCGAAACATCTCGACCGGTGTAACGTCTTCGGGTAAATTCTTCCGAATCTTGAAGAAATTCGTTCAAAGGGATGATTTGTCCTTTGTTGCTTAAGAAACTGATTCTACAATCTATTGAAGAGAAAATACTATACGGATTTTTCAATGGTCTATAACCAGTATAAAAATGAAGTGTATGCAACGTTTCAGTCATTTTGAGATGGCCAATCGTATGCGTTATTTGTGATTTCTACCAAGCAATATAAAAAAAAACTTTTCATGAAAAAAGTAATCTAATAATTTGAAATGAGCGACATGATATGAACGATTAATCGCATGAAAAAAAATCACAAATATCGCCAGGGATTCAACCAGCAACCACCAACTGTAAATCAGATACCTCAACAACCGCGCCGAACATACCATTTTAGAATGAGCTATTATTGCTTCGCTTCGAAGTCATATTTGCTGTACTGTTTGACAATGATAAAACAAGAAATTGAACAAGTGAAAAACTAAAAAAACTGAAATTTCAAGAACACATCAACCAACTGCTGATGCAATTCAAACATCAAAAATCAAACGGTCACATCCTGTTCAATTAAAGACATGCAGCTGATTTATTCTACGCTGTTTACGATTGCTCGTAACTCATATAACGTGCACGATCGGAAATACGTATTCTCTTCAATTAATTTGAACGAAGCTATCTCGACTAATAACAAAATTGATTTTCATTGCAATTAGTTGATAATAATGTATTTAAAAGCTACGGAGATTAACGTTCCGAGACAACCTTCAATTATAATCTTACGTGACTTTTATGAGCGAACAAATTTGTTGTTATAATTACTATTCATCGTTACTATTACTGTGATTACTATGATCGCAACAACTGATAACATTAATAATAAAACTGCCAATGAAATGTAATTAGTAATTCCGTAACCGATATGATGTGAATTGAAAGTACAACAATTCGAAGGAACGACAGATGTAAATGAAGATTATGTAATGGAGACGCTAAAACAAGACACTTGTTGGGGATATGTTGGGATCATGAGTTTATAAATCAAAAATTTCGTCGGATGTTATTTGCATAAATGAATTTTGGATGACTTCGTTATAATGCCAACGAAAGCATTCCACATCGATAATGCAAATGGATTGTGATCACTCATGTGACCATATTCATTATATTATTCACTTCTATTCTCGATTTCTTTGTTCCACTATAATTACAACATTCTAATTATGTAGGGCTGTTCAATCACGAAAAGATTATATGAACAAAGTGTATACATTTTTCATGACCAATCTAATCTCGTGGCATTCATTAATAAATCAACATTACACTTGAGTTTTATTTTTTTTAACCATATTCTTCAAATAACTTGATTTATTCGAGTGAATGCCGACAATAAATCATTCGCATAATCAGCCAATAATAGATAAGAAGTCAACCATGAATAATATTTGTACGCACATATCTCAGTGATTCCACAGCATGTTTTTAGTTCTTAATATCGAACGTGAATCATTACCAAAGAATCTTCCCCTCCGATCTCACAAGACCTGTCAGTGAAAACTGGTTATCATATTCGTTTACTCATTAAACAATTTTACGCAATTTAGATTTATAAAATGAATTTGTGTAACCGTCAATCTATTGAGTAAAAGATGGTTATCAATTCAAATAAATTCATAATTTTCACTTGACTGTTTTTAGATCACATAATTAGTCCATTACCGAAGAGAATCACAAAATGTAAATAATATTGCAAAGTCATGAAAGCCATATTACAATTGTGCACTTTTAAGATGTACAAAAACTAATATTAGGTATCGAAAAAAAAAACGCAACGAATATATGGATGAATATATTTGAAAGTAAGTCATCGTTTTTGTATTAATCAACGAGATTTTTGGACACGATCACTGATGTACTTCTTGCAAAATAATTTGAATCGAAAGGAGAATTATGTCTACAGATAATTCATTTGTAAGGCACATATTTGATGCAAAATATGTTCTTGATGAATTGTCGAAAACAAAATTGAATCTATACGAAAATAGAAAAATAATAGAAACAAACTTCGATGCAAATTCAATCAGTCATCATGACTGTTACCTTCTGATGAATCCAAAACGATGATTTTTAGTTTTGATGGCAAATGAAAGAATTTCTCCATAACCTGCTCTATGAAATATCGAAAAACTCGCTCATTTCAATTGCATGGTCCAATTCATAATGACCTTTACGCAACACTATGCGAACAACGATTATAAGGACAAAATTTGGAAATGCACGTCGAAGGTCGCATTTTTTTCACAATGTTCACTTGAATGACTGCACAATGAAAGAAGTTGTCTCACAATCAAATTCTCAAAGATAATTTCGGATGCTCGAAAGGTGAATGCACCGCTGTGAGTGGATGTGTTCGTTCAGCGGATGAGTGTCATTCATTCGACTACATCTTTTTGTTGAAAATGAAAACGCGATTGCTTATGATATCTTTAAGTACATTGTTGAACCGTGAAAAATGCAAGTGCTATTTTTAGGTACATTCCTGGATTTGATTATTGAAAGCGATCAGCTCAGATATTGTGAGTAGAGCGTTAAACGCTTTGATTAAAAAACCTATTATGATAGATCACAGAACGCTCAACTCAGAGTCAGATAACTCAACAACAGACACATATTTCAACAACATCAAAACAGATTTGCTCTCTATGCGACGTCTAACTTCAGCTGTACAACGCGCGCACCTTCTTTGAAAGTTCTCTTCCTCATCCTGACATTTATTAAAAACTTATGCAACAGTAAAACCACCAACTCTAGAAAGTACTCGTCAAATCGCTGTTTAATAAACACTCGCATCGGACCTAGACAAGATATTCGCATTGAACATTATAAAGAACTAGTTTTCGAATGACCTAAATAATGCACACATGAACACTTCATATTGATTGGGTGTTCAATGAGAATTTCAGAATTGAGAATTAGAGAGAAGTTCAAGAATGATTCGTCTGAAGGATTTGATAATTTGATACTGTAAGAGCACACGTTTATGTTCTCTTCAGACGGCGAGTTTATCGAACGCGTAGACAAGAATAAGGAGAAGGCAATGATGAAGTTATAGATAAATTATTTAATACAAACAACTTTTGTGGGCGTTCCTTTGCGAAACAAAATTGCGACTTTCGAAGTGAGGATTGGAATGGAGAATTGAGAAGCTGAAACGACTCTGTGCTATGTAAATAATATCGTAAAGTTAT